CATTCATAATCGGCTACGACATATATAAATCAGCTGTATTTCGTATTCAGAAATGTAAACTGTATTGTGCAAGTTCATATATGCAAATGTAGTAAAAGATCTGCAAATTTGCGTGGATCTTTTATCACAAGAATGTCACAAGAACCAAACAAATCATTCTAATTTTTATCCACGCACTTTAATCGATGATCTGTGTCGAAAAAGTCACAAGCGTTTTGCTAATGTTTCTCGTTTTGAACAAGGAAAGGTGTATGCATTAGACTTCGGAATTTTCGGTGTCGAATGTCAATAGGTGTCCAACGGAAAAATTCCATATCTTAGCCAATTTCATCTGAATCTTTTTGTCTTTGATTTCAATCGATAGAAAATTAAATTCTGCATGTTCTCAGGGTGTTTTATGCGACAGTGTGCTACAACGGAGCGTCACGTAGTCTAACTTTAAGCGCCTTGTTCTCAGGGTGTTTTATGCTACAGTTTGCTAAACAAAACTAAACTGGTAGTTCTCAACTAAACATTTGTGAATAGCATGACAATGACAATAATCTTAAAAGAGCTCTATAACCATATATTCTGACAGTGCTATGGTTCACAACTTGGGTCTTTTTGTTTTGTTAAAATTCCGATAAAATAAGTATACGTTGTAGCACACTGTAGCATAAAATACCCTGAGAACAAGGCGCTTAAAGTTAGACTACGTGACTTTCCGGCCGTCACTGCATACGAGTTGAATCAACAACTTAAGGCTCATGTTTTAGTACGACTGATGAAGTTAAAGGGTGAACTTTTAAACACAGTTGGTCTGATGTGTTAAGTTATACATTGTACAAGATCAACTATTTCGAGTACATTGTACAAGATGAACTTTGATATTTGAAAAAAAGGGATAAAATGAAGATATATTTTGAAGATATTTGCTTTTCGACTATAAGGAAATTGAGAAACCTAACTGATTCAACCCAACTATAGCTTTTTTGTAGTTTAGACATCCGAAGCTCCACAACATTATAAAACTATAGTTAACTACCGTAATTATTCTAATAAAAGCACCGCCTAGTGACGGCCGTAGCGTCACGTAGTCTAACTTTAAGCTCCTTTTCTCAGCGTGTGTTTTATACTACAGTTTGCTACAACGGAGCGTCACGTAGTCTAACTTTAAGCGCCTTGTTCTCAGGGTGTTTTATGCTACAGTGTGCTACAACGTATACTTATTTTATCGGAATTTTAACAACCTAGATATGTCTATAACCCGTTAACACTAGACCTGGGAATTTTCGGTGTGAACGTCAATAGGTGTCCAACGGAAAAATTCCATATCTTGGCCAATTTCATCTGAATCTTTTTGTCTTTGATTTCAATCGATAGAAAATTAAATTCTGCATCAAATGATATCAAAATCAAAAAGATCCGAGTGAAATTAGATATCATTTTTCCGTTGCACGTCTATTGACGTTCCCAGCGAAAATTACCGAGTCTAATATGCATTAGATAGCGTTTCAAACAATTTAATCAATGAACTGTATTCAAATTTGCGTGAAAAAAGTCACAATTACCGAATTTTTTTTAAGAAATATAAAACCCCTTTCTTCAGTCTCGAAAAGTTCTTGTTCTATTACTACTCGAGTTTGGAATCTCGTCTCGATGGTGGTGAAGCGATGCCTTGGCAAAGCTTTGAAGAGGTCAACATAAAACTTTCGAAAAACAGTACACTTGATTCTAAACTAACATTTTTTAGTTCAAAAACAAGTACGAAACCGCCTATGGCTACATGTGCGGTTTAATATGGCCGATGACGTGGATGATCGATTTGGAGAAATCGTGCACACGTGAGTTTTTTAGATAAAATAATAGTGAACTTGTAAAAGTATTAAGCGCTAGATATGGATCTAGACATGGGAAAATTTCAGCCTGAACCTAATTCCAACTTTGTTTTCTTGGCCTTTTCTTGGCCGATTGCTCTGAAATTTTGTTTACAAATAGAAATTGGCATTCTCTGCTTGTAGATATTCTCTGCTTATAGACATTCTCATTCTCATTCTCATTCTCATCGCATTCTCAGAACAATTGGCCAAGAGAAGACTGACTGAACTATCAAAGTTCAGTCAGCCGTCTCTTGGCCAACTATCAAAGTTCAGTCAGAAACAGAAATAAAAGTGGAGGATATAAAATAAACATGGGCACTATAAACTACAAAAATGACAAACTGCTACACTACAAACGCTTCTAAATTGCTTCACACCTGTCGACTTGATATGATCTATAGCTTAAAAATAGAGAATCTCAAGAGCTTTTAAATGGACTAAAGCATACCCAAAAATATAAATGCTAAAGAAAGTGACAGTGTTTTGTAGTCCTCACTCAAAACTATTTAAAACCATTATGCCTTTCCTTTTAACTTCATTGTCTTCTATGATTCAAAATCTCTTATCTTCACTCTTCTCTACGTAGTTTCGAGACTGAAGAACGGGCATTATACGTCAAATTTCATTTTCTTTTCGTTGTTAACTGTTCAGGCAGCCACACTGAGTCATCGCTAAAAATAAACTTATTGAGTGATAAAGATTGAATTAGGATTTGAATTGAGTATGATTTCTGAAGTGTTCCCAGCTGCGAAATCAATGAATGAATAATACCAACTAAACTTATAGGATTATAGGTCCAGATCCGGGTCGGTAGAAAGCTAAATATCCAGGTTAAGCCAAGCCAATGTCATGGTTTTAACCCAAACTTGGCCAAATTCAATATTAAATTTGAAATTCCAGTCCTAGACCAAATGAAAGCCATTGACTTTGACTTGGCTTTTGGCTTTTTTACAAACCTTGGTCCAGATCACAGTGGCTCCTTTGTCTTGGGGGGATGTGAATGAACTCTTTTGGCACGCAAGCATCTGGCCGCATGGCGCAATGGATAACGCTAGTCCTCACTCAAAACTATTTAAGATAATAATACTTTTCCTTTTAACTTCATTGTCTTATATGATTCAAAATCTCTTATCTTCACTCTTCTCTACGTAGTTTCTGGCGCTCGAGTCAGGCTAAAAGCCACTGTAACTTTTTTAGCGTTTATATTTTTGAGTGTGCTTTAATCCATTCGAAAGGTCTTGAGATTCTCTATTTCTTTAGCTATAGATCATGTCAATCCGACAGATTTGAAGCAAGTTAGAAGAGTTTGCCGTTTACGTTTATAGTTTGTAGTGCCTATGCCTACAAATATTAGGTTGATGCAAAAGTCTTTTTCATTTTTTTCGTACTTCTTTTGAAAAATAACAAAGTCATCAATTAACCTATGGTTTGCTCTAAATGAAAAGTGTTTATTGTTGAATTTCCCATCTTTTTAAGTCAATTTGGGTTCACTTTCGAGCAAATTCGAGAGTGAAAACGGGTTTTTCATAAAAATCTATAAAAACCTCTATAAAGAAATTGGCTGAATCAATTTCTCTGAAAATCTGAAAAAATATCTAACTTTTTGTGCTCTATCTTTTATTTATTAACATCAAGATTGGTTTCCTTAGCTAAAGCGTCTAAAATGCATCATCGAGCCGTCGCCTTTTTTGACTACCCGACTTCAGGCTCTCAAAAAAATCTAGACATAAGACATTTTAAACTCGTTTTAATGTCATTTTGCAGAAAAATAATTGGCCTTTCGAATGCAATAAACCGTTGTTCAATTGGTGCATTTGTTACTTTTTAACGGAAGTACGAAAAAAATGAAAAAGACTTTTGCATCAACCTAATAACACAGCAAATATTCAGCTGCCGAACTCGAAGAATGTAAAGCAAATTTCAATGCAAAAATCCGTCTCATGGCTCGAGAATCGAACCGATTTATTGAAAAACATATCTTGACAAAATTGTAATCAAATTTCTGAATAAACTTTAAATTTCACAATCTAATGCAAAGCTTAAATTAGTTTAAACAAAGTTTAGCTTACAAAAACAAGAAAATTTATTGTTTCTATGATACAGTCGGCAAAAAAAGACATTATCAGAGACAGCCGGTTTAGAAAGCAAAAAAAGTCTTGCACCATTGTTGTATTCTGTTGTTTACTATGGTATAGACGACATTTAATGCCTTCTCCGTTTGTACCTACAGAGACGATTCAACGACAATTCCACGACTGCAGAAAAAAGACAAATGAGGGAAACCCCTGAAAATTCGTCATTTTACATGCAAATTGATTGTTTTTGAGTCACTAAAAGTCACTAAAAGTCAGACTCACTTACTAAAAGTACAAACGGAGAAGGCATACCAGTAACCATAGTATACCATAGTAAACAACGGAATTTTCAGGGGTTCCCTCATTTGTCTTTTTTTCTGCAGTCGTGGAATTGTCGTTGAATCTTCTCTGTAGGTCTTTTTCTCTGCAGTCGTTGATTTTTAACCCAAAGTGTTACATATGAAAATGTTCATTGAAATGTCGACTAAAACACGGCGTACATCCCAAAATTATAGGATCTACGGCTTGCGATATTTTGGGGCTGCAAGCCATCCCATCCCATTTTCCTTTATAATTGGGGTATAGTGATCTCAAAAACTAAAAGAGCTAGAGACAAACGGTTTTCAGATTTAAATTCAGCATGGTCGAGTTACTAAAAGTACAAACGGAGAAGGCATTAAATGTCGTCTATACCATAGTAAACAACAGAATACAACAATGGTGCAAGACTTTTTTTTGCCGACTGTATAAAAGCTCACAATTTATTAGGTTGTCAACAATGAAACCGGAATTCTTAGACATTTAATTTTTGAGAGTATAGGAAAAGTTTATATCGACTGTTATACATTTTTGAAATGCTATCGAAGACTTCATCGCCTCTAGACAGCTCTAGACGCCTCTAGACGACTTTTTTTTGCCACAAAGATCGAAAAACTGGGTACTCGTTGGCTGTTATTTTGATTATTTTGATTAATTTGATTGTTCTTCAATAAAAAAATTTACAATTGAACATCATTAAGAAAAGCGCCTTTGTTTTTTGGAGTACCTAACATAGAGCTCGCATTTACAATGATTCATTGGATTGCGATAAAAGAATAGTTGACGAGAGCTGAGTGATGGCAACAAAGGAATGAATAGTCAACAGTTTCCATTGTCCCATTTCATCACTGTTTGTCGTTCCATCGTAAACATCGATTAAGATCTTGATCATGTGAGCAAGCCAGAAAATTATCTGAATTGATTAAATTAACATTCGTCTGATATTATTGGGTTGGTGAATTGAAAACTGCGGGCTATTGTCATATGTGACAGTTTGAGCACTTTCTTCAAAAGAAACCCATTTTGGTGTCAATGGAAAAGTTGTAGAGAATCAAAAATTAAGCTTATATCCAAATTTTCAGAACGATTCAAAAACTGGTTTTCAAGAAAGGCGAAATTTACCAATTTGGACAAAACTTGCATTTTAAGCCAAAATACTAAGTGTATCTTTTTGGAAATTTGGCTATAAGCCTAATTTTTGATTCTCTACAACTTTTCTATTGACACCAAAATGGGTTTCTTTTGAAGAAAGTGCTCAAACTGGGACATCTCCAGTCCTCCATTTTTGAGTCTCACACTTGTCTCACACACAAACCAAAATCCTACTACGAAAGAGGAATCCGCAAATTGCCTGTAAAATGGGCAGAAGTCGTCAATAATAATCGAAATTATTTGGAATGAATTGATAGTTTTATGTTGAATAAATTTTAGTTCAAAGTCCGGCAGTTTTCAATTCACCAATTCAATAGATTTCAGAAACTATCAAGAACTGTAAAAGCTTCAATCCCTCATCTCACAAGGGAATGTCAACTGGATGTGGTGGACAAATGACATCGATGTTGTCGTCAGTTTTCAAGTTTTCAATTCACCAACCCAACAGCTATGCATCTCATATTTCTTTCTAAGAATAGACCCTCCAAGTCAAAGATCGTTCTCATCCACGACAACGCGCGCCCTCATGTTGCAAAACTGACTCGCTCTAAAATAAATAGCCTTGTTTGGGAACTTTTGGCGCATTCCCCATACAGTCCGGACCTCGCGCCTTTTGATTACTATTTATTCCGGAGCATGAGTAATGAGCTTGCGGGAGAACACTTCGATTCGGAAGAAGCAGTCAAAAATTGGCTTTGAAAGTTTTTCTATTCCAAACCAAAATCCTAGTACGAAAGAGGAATCCGCAAATTGCCTGTAAAATGGGCAGAAGTCGTCAATAATAATGGAAATTATTTGGAATGAATTGATGGTTTTATGTTGAATAAACTCTAGTTCAAAGTCCAGCCGTTTTCAATTCACCAATTCAATAGTACTGTTATGTTACTTACCGCATTGTAACCGTAAAAGTTGATCCACTCTTGGTGCCCAGATTTGTATCCATAAAAACAGCCGACAATTGAGATAAAAGTTGCAAGAAAATGGAACAAGATTATGGGGATCTGAATGGTTTTTCAGCTTTGGATTGAACTTTTTTTGTTAGACTTTCCCACCTCAATCGTTCCAATTAGATTTAGATTCATAAAAAGACGCATGCTGATTTCACTGATCAAGATTGACGAGGCACCGAAAAGAGCAAGACCAATCTGAAAATTTTACAACAGTTTTGTAAATGATTTATTAAAGTTTCCAAAACTTTCCACCTTTCTCGATTACTCGTACCAGCAACTGTGGGATGATCAAAACCGGTACGTATTTTAAATTTAAAATAACGAATGTCACAGATTCAAACCTTTTTTCATCGAATCATACGTTTTAAAGACAATTTTACTTTATAACGCTTGCATTTAGAATAGTTAAAATGTACATATTTGAGAGGCTAAACTGTAAGCTGTTTCCTCAAAATCCCCTCAATTTTTGCCGCCGACCATCTCAATAAAAAAATGAAGGAATTGGCAAGAAAAACCAGATTTCCAGAGAGCGGATTGAACCATCGATCTTTTGCTTTCCGGCCAATGACTCTAACCATTAAGCTAGCCGATACCTTAACTTGCCAAGGAAAAGAGGGAAAGACAAAGGGGAAGAAGAAAGGAAGAAAGAAAGAAGCAAAGTAATCGCAAAGAGAAAGCGACAAAATGAAGACAAAAACCGAATTGCTAAAGAATCCAGTTATTCGGAGGAGTTATTCGGATTTTCTAGGAGCCCAAACAATATCTAAAGCTTCACATTAGTGAACTTTAATTCCAATTGGAGTCCCAGGGGCAAAAACCGATGAATCCCATTCCCACTAGGATGAAAGAAATCATTGTCAAAGAAGTCGGGGTTATTTTGGAAAAAGAGCACAATGCCGGTAATGACACAAGCTGGGAGAATGAACATGAAAATGAGAATGCAAAGAGAATGCACATGTTACGGTAAGAACGATCTATGCACTGTACAGTCATAAAGAAGTGAAGGAATTGACAAGAAAAACTAGATTTCTGGAGAGCGGATTGAACCATAGATCTTTTGCTTTCCGGCCAATGACTCTAACCATTAAGCTATCTGATACCTTAGCTTGCCAAGAGAAAGAGGGAAAGACAAGGGGGAAGAAGAAAAGAAAGGAAAGGAAGAAAGAAAGAAAGAATTATCCACATGCGCGTTTTCCGGAAAAACCAATATCTTTCATAATGTTTCTACTGTCAAAAGATAAGCTCAGTTTCCCCAACAGAGAAAATGAACCGAAAATTCATTTTTTTAAGCCATTCCTCGGCGACTTTTGATCAAGCCGCTAAATCCATTTTTTTCTCAACTCAAAAACGGTTAAAGATTCCTCAATTCTGCCGAGGTTGATTACATATTTCCTCCAAAAATCAGGACATCGGGAGGAGGCGGGCGGAGGAAATAATAGAGTGAGTTTTAAGAGATCAAAAATACCAAAAGGATTGACAAAAGAATTGATTACGATGGATTTTAGAACTCTTTTAGATATTTTAGATCTTTTAGATTTAAATTTGAATATTTGAATGAACTTTATTCTATTTCTCACCCATCGTCTCTTGTCGGCGAATTCAAGTTGATTAATTGTGGGCCCTTCAGGGGATTTCTCGTTAGACATCTCAATTTGGATAGTTTAAATTAATATTATTAATAAGCAATACAAAAATAAAGAACTTTTGTGGTCAATAAAATTTAAAAGAAGTCAATAAGTTTTTTTGTTTAGTCTTCACCGCTTATGAATCAACATTTTTCATTCTCAGTTTAATAACATGATTGTGAAATCAAGAATTTAAGCGTTAAAGTGCTAGTGAACTTGTTTTTCGTGAATTCTTTGAAAAAAGAAGAAAAATAAATCGAGTTGAGGGATTGTTGCGAAAAAAATCAAAGAAAAATCACCACTTTCTCTCATACAAGCCTCTCGCTCGGATCGAAATATTCACGAATAGGTCTAGATATGCTGCGTACTTAAAGGATTAATTGCCTACTTAGATTCATACAAATATGGTGCCTGGCCAGCTACTCCAGTAGAATAGTGACCTAAAACTTTGAAAGGGAATCGATGATGAACTGGAAAGTGAAAGTTTCCGGGATACCGTTTTGGGTTTCCGGGATACCTTTCCATATCGTTTTCCATTAATAATGTTTTTCTAAGACACCGCCATATTCTCCTGATTGCAATCCGATTGAACATTTGTGAGCTCATGTAAAACGAGGATATCGATTTACCTCAAAAGATGAGCTTTGGGATAAAGTAAAAGAAATTTGAAAGTTGATCCCAGTGCCGACGCTCGAGAAATTAGTTGCAAGCATGCCGAAATGAAACGAATGAAGGCAAACATTAAAGCCTGAGATGGCTCAACAAAATATTGAATTCTTCTTTTTTTTCGATAGGGGCTCAATACTTTTTCCATCGGTTTTTTCAATATGGTGTCTGGGCGGCTTTTCCAGTAGAATAGCGAACCAAAACTTTGATACATATGTATTGGGTTGGTTGCGTGTTTGCTTGTTTGCTAAACTTGTTTGCTAAATGTCGGAATGCAAAGCTGTAGGTCGATGGTTTGATTCCCATTAAGGTTTTCTTTTGAAAAGCTGTTTTATAGTGTTCTCTAATCCACCTTCTCTTCGTAATTGCTAAATATTCAAAAATTTTATTCTAATCTTTCTAATCTTATCGCGAGCACGCAAGCGTTTTAGCCAGGTCAGAAATCTGATCAATCAAAATGCTAAATTCCTTGCGATTCCTATCTATTTAGCAAAAAACGAGCAACAGATTCGGAATCAGAGTCAAATTCTGCATCGGATGGTCTAGGTCTCATTTCGATTGGCCACCTTGATTTCGTGACCTTGTTAGTATACAATTTTTGACTTGTTAGTATACAATCAGGCTTTAGCTCTACGCAACGCTGTTGACCAAACAATCCATCAACCAGCACTCACAGGCTCTCCGCTGAACTGGATATTCCTCAAACATCAGTTATCCGGCACCTTCACACCCTTGGAAAGATCAACAAAAGCTGCCGAGAAGTGGCACATGATTTAACGGAAAATCAAGCTCAAAATCGTGTAGACACTTGCCGAAAACTGCTGGAAAATCCGAACGATGACCGCTTTATTCGCTGAATTGTGACTTGTGATGAAAAGTGGGTCTATTTTAGTAATCCGGACAAGTAAAGGGCCGGAAAATTCGCACCTTCTTCTTTTCATCAAATTTTTATTACATAAATCATGTCTGATCGCCTACCGTATATGAGCAACATTATCCCCAATGTCCATCTCATCTTCTCTCAAAAGCCGCAACTCTTTTCCGCTCGCTCATCTTTTTGCGTGTTCGATCGACGAGCGGTAAAATAATTGCAAATACGCGATCCGACAGACAAAAAGCCTTTCTCTTTGGTTTTTGTCACCGAAAAACAAAACTTCCTCGTGGTGACCGAAATTCGAGGTGTCAAAGAGTTTCACAGTTTGTGAAATAGTCCCCTAATTGGTCATATCGATCAAATTCGACCACCAATTGACGAAAAGAGGCAGACAAGTGAGTTGTAGACGGATAAGACTCAAATGATCAAAATCCTGGCTGTACTGACTCTACTGACTAGGGTTTGGTTCTTGTCTGACTAGAAAATTTTTGATCTTTATTGTGAAACTTTGTCATTATTTTTATTATTGTCATTAACAGGGCAACTTGTGAATTTCTGTTTCATTTTTTGAAAAAACTCTTTTGAATCTCTTGGCGGATTTTTAACTTCTGAATTCTTCCGAATTTCTGAACTTCTGAAGACTTCTGAATTTTGTGAGCAAAGTTTGCAAAGCAAAGCAAAACCAGGCAAGACAAAGCCAGGCATGGCAAAGCCAGGCAAGACAAAGCCAGGCAAGACAAAGCCAGGCAAGGCAAAGCCAGGCAAGACAAAGCCAGGCATGGCAAAGCCAGGCAAGACAAAGCCAGGCAAGACAAAGCCAGGCAAGACAAAGCCAGGCAAGACAAAGCCAGGCAAGACAAAGCCAGGCAAGACAAAGCCAGGCAAGACAAAGCCAGGCAAGGCAAGCAGGCAAGAAAGCCAGGCAAGAAAGCCAGGCAGGCAAAGCCAGCAAGAAAGCCAGGCAGGCAGCCAGGCAAGAAGCCAGGCATGGAAGCCAGGAGAAAGCCAGGCAGGCAAAGCCAGGCAGAAGCCAGCAAGGAAAGCCAGGCAAGACAAAGCCAGGCAAGACAAAGCCAGGCAAGGCAAAGCCAGGCATGGCAAAGCCAGGCAAGACAAAGCCAGGCAAGGCAAAGCCAGGAAGGCAAAGCCAGGTAAGACAAAGCCAGGCAAGGCAAAGCCAGGCAAGGCAAAGCCAGGCAAGGCAAAGCCAGGCAAGACAAAGCAAAGCCAGGAAGGGTCAGCTTTATTAAGACTCTGGTCTGGTCTTAAAAGTTACTTTTGAAAGCTTTAATTATAAGCTCTTTATTCTATTTTAAAACAGAAATCCGGCAGCTGCCAAAATCTTTTTGAAGATATTGTAGAATTCTCAAAAATTGCCTCTACTTCAACTAAAAGTCAACGAAAACAAATGTGTCAAAACTCAAACGATTATTACTATTTTAAAAAACAGGTTCTTTAAGTAGATTTTTAATTTATTTTGCCAAAAAGCTTTACCTGGTATAAATTCTGTACTTGCATTGTTAGAGGAGTGTAAATCGGCAAACCGGCTTCGATTTTATTGATTTATTATAGCTTTTTGTTTCTCTAAACAAAACAAAACAAATAGTTCTTTATTAAAAAGTTTTATTTTATTAAAAGCCTCAAAGTAGAAATACAATTCTCGTTTTTGTTGATTTCCTTCACTCTGCAACTAGCCAAACGATTTTTGCAACTTTCCATCATTTACCGTCCATTATCACTTCGAAAAAAACAGAAAAGACTCAGAGTTGCGACGACGAATCACCAAAAAGCCGCCGCAGTATAATAAGACACCAGAAATACCGTACCCCAAACAATGTCGCGGTCAAACGCGTATAAAAGGACGCCTTCTTCCGCATTTAGTCAGAATTTTCTCTTATTTTGGTCTTGTGAAAATTGTTTTCTTTTGTTCGAGATACTTCCACAATTTTCATCAAAGTGATTCCTTTTTGTCTCTGGGTCAACACATTGTTTCTTGGAGTTTCGTTGAAAAATTTTTCAGCCATCAGAAAGCCGCTTCCCCTTACTTGTATTGAATAAACTTGGTTTTCTTATTCATTCAAGCAAAAGCGCACAGGTCTAGCCATGTCTAGTGAATTCAAGGAAAAGCTAGTAATTCGTAATGTTAGATTGTTCGAGAAGTGTAAATCGGCAAACTGGCTCCGATTTTATCGATTTATTATAGTTTCGTGTTTCTCTAAACAAAACAAAACAAATAGTTCTTTATTAAAAGCCTCAAAGTATAAATACAATTCTCGTTTTTGTTGATTTCCTTCACTCTGCAACTAGCCAAACGATTTTTGCAACTTTCCATCATTTACCGCCTAAATCGCTTCGAAAAAAGCTGGACTTTGATGCTAAAATTGCGCTTGAAATCTATTTTCAGTAAAAAAGTAAATATAGGTATTGGCCGGCTTTCAATCATGTTGAAGTTGAAGATGTAGTCATTCTGGTTCTGTTTGGATCATTGTTTCAATAGCTTATTTTGGCTGACGTGAATTAGGGCACTAAACATTAAGGGGACTAACTCTCATTTCATTTTTCTTACGCAGCATATAACTAGTTTAGTAAAAAGATGCTAATAACGACTGCTGACCAATTGAAATGGAAGGTTAGAGAGGCATTTCAGTATTGTTGTTTTCCGAACTTCTACCTGGGTAGCCTTTGCTGTCACTGCTGATTTACTCTGCCTGGCCGTTACCGCGCTGGCTTTGCTGGGCATCAGCGGCAATTGGCGCTTCGCGCAGGGCAGCTGGCGGTATATTTGTTGCCACTCCACGGCGACCTGTTTATTTTACCGGTCTCGCGATGATCGCGGAAGCGTTACTCGGCCGGGGCAGACAGCGAAAACGAAAACCGTGCCAAGAAGTCAGGCTGGTTATAAAGAATTTGTAACCCCGGCAGGCATAAAATTCCACGCTTGTAGCCATTCAGTGCCGCTTCGCCAATGGCTGTTCACCCGGCGCCCGCGTAAATTCCACATTGCAGATTCAAATCGCTTTTTGTTTGCGCGCCCCGGCCCGACTATTAAAACCATTCGCCCGATCGACTTTCGCTTTGTTTCGCGCTATAACTATTGCGGCATACTCGCCGCGTTAGCTCACCAGAAGCGACACGTAACGCGCGCGCGGAACAGCTCCGCTCGCGGACGGCCGGGACCGGGTTTAAAACTTGGCCCTCGAAGACAGGCACGAGTAGTGTTTGTATAAAGAAACGGGCGACCACATATTAATTTTACTATTGCTCTGCCTCTTAACTGCCTGAACAAGCTAGCCAAAATGAATAGAAGCTGATTACAAGAAATATCATTCTGCACCAGTTTCGACTCCACTGATGAGTTTCTGCGACTGGCTAAAAACCATTTGCCCAAATATTGCCAGATCTTAATACCACTGCAAACAAATCAGTTGGCGAAATGAAGCGCAGACTAAAGGCTGGTTTCGCTTATTCAATTCCATGATTATATTTTTAACTTTTATCCAGTACTCAGAAACTAACCTCAATAATAAGAAGATTTTAACGAACCAGAGTTAAAATTGAATTGACAAGCAGAGTTAGAATTGAACAAATTAAGAATTAAGCAAAAAGCAGCAAAAGGAAAATCATCAAGGGGAGTCGAACCTATGGCAAAGATGTTTAGATCATTTTGTATTCCAGCCTCCTATCCACTTGACCACCAGTCCACATTAAGTAGGCGAGAAAGATGCTTTTTATCGGGATGCTAAAATCTTGTAAGCTAAATATCTCGCTTTTCCGGAGTCCTGGGCAAAAACTAAAAGCAGATTCGGAATCTCCACAGTCGAATCTATAAGATGGAGTTGGTCACATAGGAAAAGGCCACGGTAAGTTCATGCCTTTCTCTAGTAAGTCTTTACCCATTTGTTTCATTAGCTAAATGAATGAGTCTCAAACTACCAAATTTTGGCTTTGGTTTGGCTTAATAGTCTGGCTTAATAGTTTGAGTTCAATGAAACTATAGTGTTCTGGTAGTTGGTGAATTGGGTAATTATTTAGTTAGTTATTCCATTAACTCTGAACATTCTTTCAATTTACAATGAAATAAAGTTTTAAGAAAATTTTCAGCTTACAAATGTCGACAGCACAACTCCCGACAAAAGCAATGCAACCATCTACAAGAACTGTCAGTCCTACACCACGAATTGGCCGATAATCGTGTTTGTTTTACAGATTTTCTAAAGATTGAGTTGCTTTGATGTGAGTCCAATCAAATTATAAGCTTACTGAATTGTTGAAGTCAAATTGTTAATTGTTTTGTTAATGATTTGGAAATTGGAAATTTTCAGAAACTCAACCACTCCATTTGTCACCACAACACCACAAAGCACGACAACAATGGGGTAGCTTTGTCATTCGATTTAACAAATCGCTAACAGATTTCAGTATCACTACGACAACAGTCGGCAATCAAAATACGAGAACGACGATTGGAACTACAACTGGAAATGTATCGTGTAAGTTGATGTTAATAGTTTTGAACAAAGATCAACTTTTTGTTGATCAGCAAAGATCAATCAGAAGCCAGGAAGCTCTTTGGCTTAGCTCAAAACTAAAAAGTACCACTAAAAGTCAGACCTGATCTTGCTTCAAGCAATTCCAAATACTTTTGACCTGCTGGCTCGGCTCTGGCCTGCTGGCTCGGCTCTGGCCTGCTGGCTCGGCTCTGGCCTGCTGGCTCGGCTCTGGCCTGCTGGCCCGGCTCTGGCCCTGGCCGGCCGGCCGTGGCCGGCTCTGGCCGTGCGGCGGCCCTGGCCGGCTCTGGCCGTGGCCGGCTCTGGCCGTGGCCCGGCTCTGGCTGGCCCGGCTCTGGCCTGCTGGCCCGGCTCTGGCCTGCTGGCCCGGCTCTGGCCTGCTGGCCAGGCTCTAGCCTGCTGGCCCAGCTCTAGCCTGCTATACATCTTGTTGAGAACTTTTTGAACTCTCGAATCATTTCGTCATTATTAGATTCTCAGACTTGATGTTGCATGAGCTGTTTTTAAATCTTTACTGACAAAACTGATAAATGAAGTATGCGGTACGTGCGGTAGTGTACTAAGAACGAAAATTTTTAGTATGCACGGGTCTTTCGTCAGATGTGCCAGGATATGACATTGTTGTCATCAACGCGGATATTTCTCAGAGTTACGGTCGTTTTGGTGGCTACTTTTTCTCTGCTGTTGACTGCTCGCAATTGTGTACCTGGGATCACGGGAATATTGGGTGCTCTGGGTAAATGTTTGTTTTGAAAAGAAAAATGTTTCGTTGATAAAGTATGCGTAGTGTACTAGGAACGAAAAACAATGGAAAGGCACTCTTTCTTGGTGCGCTTGATGAGTTTTATGCCGTGAGAGTGCGCTAGAATGGGTGTGTTTCCATTTTAAAGCACAAAATAGGGTACAGAAAACTTGAATTGCCTCTTTTTGGAACACTCTATAGTTCAGCATCTATAGAAACTATTTCTAGTTTCGCGTTCACTCCTAATCCAATGGGTGGCCGAGGAAATTGTACAGTTTTTCAACAAAACTGGCAAGTGGAAGCCTGTGAAAACGTGGGCGCTCAATCGAGTAATACGACTGTTTACGCGTTTTGTACATTGAGCGAAACGACCACAACAACAATTGGGTGCGTTTTGAAATGAAAGGCTTTGTGTTCCGGGTTTTGAGTTCAATGAAACTATAGTGTTCTGGTAGTTGGTGAATTGGGTAATTATTTAGTTAGTTATTCATCTTGTTTCACTAAAATAGCTAAGTTCAATGGAAATTTGCTAGTTCTATGCAAATAAACTTTCTTTAGACTTTCGACAATTCACTGGCTAACCACGACAACAAGTCCCACAACTACAACTTTCAGCACAACTACAACAGACTCCACAACTACCACAACAAGTACTACCACCACCTCGTAAGTCTTTTCAAGTTACCAAGAACCTCACCATTTTGATCTAATAAGTTGATCAGTCTAATAAGTTGTATCTAACAATTATAGAGTATTTATTCAAGTGCTTGTTCTAGAACTCCCACTACGACCACAACTTTACTCACGATTATCTCAACAACAACAACAACAACAACCCAGCCACCGAATCCAATCACGACGGCAGCTGGAAGTGGGTTCTAGGAGCTGGCTATCTTAACAAGATAATAAAAACTATCGAAAAATCCACATATCTGATATCTCATTATTTAGCACTCTTGTCTTACACGGTTTCTGATTGAATCTATTTTAAATCCATAGCCTACATAAAACTATAAGTAACCGTCTTCATGAATCTAAGGCTCAGAACTAGTAGAATTGTATCTCAAAAGCCTGATTCTAAATTCAGCTTGTCCAAATGGCTACCGGTGGGAAACTGGTAACTTTGATGACTCGGCGGTGGCTCAAGGGAAATTTGTTGGTTATCTCAACTACATCGATTCATGTTACGAGTCTTGCCGCATAGCTTATGGCTTGCCACAATGCGTGGTAGGTTTTAGAAAATAAATGAAAACCACAAAAACTTCAGGGGTTCACTTACGAGCCACAGGAGAGGGGGAGATGTTATGTTTATTCGGATCTACCTGCTGGGACACCGATTGATTCTTCAAAACAACTAGATCTCTATTTGATGTGTAATCAAAGTGATAGCCAGGTAGAGAAGTGGGAAGTGATGAGTAGCTTTGTTGGGTTTTAGACGAGCACTACGAGCACTACGACCACAACTACGACGGTGGACACAACTACAACTACTCCAACAACCACATCGACTTTAACAACTACCAGAACAAGTCCAACTACAACAACGATAACAACTACGATGGTGGATACAACTACAACCACTCCAATAACAACTACAACAACTACATCGACTACAACAACGATCAGAACAAGTCCAACTACAACAATGACAACAACTACCTCAACGATCCCTACGACAACAACGCCAACAACTACTACGTCAACAAAAATAATCACCAAAACTACGACTACAACCCCATCAACTAGTTCTTCAAAAACCAGTAGCGGTATTACTACTACAACAGCTGGAGCCACGGCAACAGAAACTTCATCTACTGAAGGAAACACTGCGACATCGGAGGATACAACTAATGCTCAAACAACAACTCCTGCTTCAACTTCTGATTCTTCAGTGGCTTCAGAGTCGGCAACGTCGACTGATGCCACGCAAATTACAACAACGATGTCTGAAGTTACTTCAAGTGCAACCGAAGCTATAGCAGCTTCAACAACAGTTGAATCAACTACTGATATGACAAGTCAATCAACTGAAGCTAGAACTGGAACGTCGGAAAAAACCACAACCGGATCTGTAACAACAGAATTGACCACTTCAGTAACTAGTGGAATTACCACTGTAGCTGAAACAACTGAAAGTCCAACAGCTGGAATGACTTCTGAAAGTGCGACAACTGGGGCAGCAACATCGGAAATTTCAACGACAGAGATGACATCTTCAGGATCAACATCTGAACCCACAACTGAGGTTATAACGGCAGTTATGACATCTACAACGGGTACAACAACTCTTGCTTCAACTTCTGATTCTTCAGTGGCTTCAGAGTCGGCAACGTCGACTGATGTCATGCAAAATTCAACAATGATGTCTGAAGTTACTTCAAGTGCAACTGAAGCTATTTCAGCTTCAACAACAGTTGAATCTACTGCTATGACAAGTCAAGTAACTGAAGCTAGAACTGGAACGTCGGAAAAAACCACAACCGGATCTGTAACCACTGAATTGACCACTTCTGTAACTAGTGGAATTCCCATTGTAGCTGAAACAACTGAAAGTCCAACTACAGCTGGAATGACTTCTGAAAGTGCGACAACTGGGGCAGCAACATCGGAAATTTCCACGACAGAGATGACATCTTCAGGATCAACATCTGAACCCACAACTGACGTTACGACGGTAGTTATGACATCTACAACGGGTGCAACAACGAGTGCTACCACGGAAGCTGTTACAACGGAAAACTTAAGTTCCACAGCTGGTCTGACATCTGCGGATACAACAATAGAAGCCTCTACTGAACCAACAACTGTCGCGACTTCAACTGCTAATCCAAGCACAACAGCAGCTAGTCTTACAACAACGATGCAAGCAACAAGTACCGGGGTTGAGACAACGACGGCTGGTTCCTCTACAATGTCAACATCATCAAGTACGACGCAAGCAACAACACAAGAAAGTACAACTGCAACAGCTGGTGGAACGACGGAGATATTGACGACAACAAGTGAACAAACGACGACAATTGATTCACTAACAACCAATGCAATGACCACAACTGCAACGACAACAGCAGGAAGCACAACTGAAGTCCTAACAACAAACCCTTTGACCACAGCACTGAGCTCAACAACTGCAGAGACAGCGACGTTGACCACAACTGCAAGTTTGACTACAACAACCCAACTTGCGAGTACGACAGTAGAGACGACAGAATCAACCACCTTGACGACGACCGAGCTATCCACTACAACCGGAACAACAACTGAAGGTACAACAACAGAGAGCATGACATCTACAAGTGAATCTACAACTACTGTGCTTTCTACTACAGCTGAGCCGTTGACTATCACAACCGATCTTCCAACTACGACAACTGAAGTGCCAACAACAAGTGGAACAACCACTGAAGACACAACCTCTACAAGTGAATCTACGACAACTGAGTTTACGAGTACAACAATCGCTGCAACCACTACAACCGAAATACCAACAACAACAAAATACATAACATCTACGAGTGAATCTACTACTGTCTTTTCTACTACAACTGAACCTTTGTCTACCACAATCGACCCAACAACAGAGCTTCCCACCACAAGCCCTTCCTCTACAACCGATGCTCCAAGTACGACAACGGAAGTATCAACAACAACGACAGAAGTTACAACACCTACAAGTGAACCTACAACTACTGGTCTGTCTACTACAGCTGCTCCTTTGACTACCACGACCGACCTTACGACTACAACAATAGAGCTTGCAACCACAAGCCTTGTCTCTACAACCGATGCTCCAAGTACGATAACGGAAATACCAAAAACAACCACAGAAGTTACAACATCTACAAGTGAATCTACAACTACTGTGCTTTCTACTACAGCTGAGCCGTTGACTACCACAACCGATCTTCCAGCTACAACAACTGAAGTGCCAACAACAAGTGGAACAACCACTGAAGACACAACCTCTGCAAGTGAATCTACGACAACTGATTTTACGACTACAACAGTCGCTGCAACCACTACAACCGAAATGCCAACAACAACAAAATCTCTAGCATCTACGAGTGAATCTACTACTGTCTTTTCTACTACAGCTGCTCCTTTGACTACCACAACCGACCATACGACTACAACAATAGAGCTTGCACCCACAAGCCTTTTTACTACAACCGATGCTCCAAGTACGACAACGGAAGTACCAACAACAACAACAGAAGTTACAACATCTACAAGTGAATCTACAACTACTGTGCTTTCTACTACAGCTGAGCCCTTGACTACCACAAGCGATCTTTCAACTACAACAACAGAGCCTTCGACCACAAGCTTTACCACTACAACAGATTCTCCTACTACGACAACCGAAATGCCAACAACAATCGATTCAACATCTACAAGTGCAGCTACAACTACTGAGCTTTCTACCACAACAACTGATTCTCCAACTACAATAACGGAAGTGCTAACAACAAGTATAACAACAGAAATCACAACCTCGACCTCGGTGCCCACAACGACAACGGAAGAGCCTACAACAACTACGGCAGAAACGACTACTGAAGCAACTACTACTACAACCACGACAACAACAACAACAACAACAACAACAACTACTATACTATACTACCAGAAAAAAAAAAAAAGGACAAGAAAAAAAAAAACAACAAAAAAAAAAAAAAAAAAAAAAACAAAAAAAAAAAAAAAAAAAAAAAACAACAACCAAAAACTAACAACAAAAACAACAAAAAAAACACTAACAACTACTACTACTACTACTACCACGACAACTACGACAACGACTACGACAACAACAACGACTCCAACAACTACAACAACTACACCAACTACAACAACAACAACAACAACTACTACTACTACTACTACCACGACAGCTACGACAACGACCACAACAACTACAACAACTACTACTACTACCACGACAACGACAACAGCACCGACTACAACAACTACAACAACTACGACCACAACGACTACCACAACAACTACGACAACGACTACGACAACAACAACAACTACAACAACTACAACAACTACGACCACAACGACTACAACGACAACAACAACTACAACTACAACAACAACCACTACCACGACTACTACCACGACTACAACAACAACAACAACAACAACCACGACTACGACGAGCACAACAACTACAACTGCCATGACAACTACCTTACCTCGTATGTCATTTGCCTTTCCCATCCCTGAAAGTCTCGTTATTTAGCCTGCCTCTGCTCCAACGTCATACTGGCCCCACCGTTTGGAGCAGTTCCCAATAATACTCCTAACGCGTAAAGTATTTCCCTAAACTTGGTATGCTCAAACTTTAGATGCAATGTCGTCACGGGACTTGTCGGGTGCATTAGTATGAACACGTATGCTAAAAAGGATCAAGACGTTATGCATTATTGGCTCTATGACGAGGTGAGATATTGGCTTCAGCGTTGAGGCAAATTTTTTACCGAGAAAATAGTGATACCCAAAACCGTTCAAATTTTCATTTTTTTCGCTTCCAGAACGGTAACGTGGTCTTTGACTCGGGTGACTATTGTTCGGGTGATGTGTACAGAGTTGCGACGACCTGTGATTGTCGGACATTGGTCATTCCAGGCAATACCATCAATTCAATCTATTGTCTTGTGAGTTAAAGCAAAAGCTATCGTAATCTGCCCGCTAGTTTTCATTCAATCATCCCAATTTTGGTGTCATTAGACGAAGAATCACAGGGTTTAGCCAATCATATCAAAACTGAGCTGATTAGGTGTAAATTTACCAGTTTGATTTCGGTAATTTGTCTAAAATATTGGATTGGCGAATTGAAAACTGCCGGCGATTGTCATATGTGACAGTTTGAGCACTTTCTTCAAAAGAAACCCATTTTGGTGTCAATGGAAAAGCTGTAGAGAATCAAAAATGGAGCTTATATTCAAATTTTCAGAACGATTCAAAAACGGGTTTTCAAGAAATGCCAAATTTACGAATTTTCACAAAACTTGCATTTTAAGCGAAACTACCAAGTGTATCTTTTTGAAAATTTGGCTATAAGCCTAATTTTTAATTCTCTACAACTTTTCTATTGTCACCAAAATGGGTTTCTTTTGAAGAAAGTGCTCAAACTGGGACATCTCCAGTCCTCGATTTTTGAGTCTCACACTTGTCTCACACACAAACCAAAATCCTACTACGAAAGAGGAATCCGCAAATTGCCTGTAAAATGGGCAGAAGTCGTCAATAATAATAGAAATTAATTGGAATGAATTCATGGTTTTACGTTGAATAGATTTTAGTTCAAAGTCCGGCATTTTTCAATTCAACAACCCAATATTGTAATCTGCCCGCTAGTTTTCATTCAATCATCCCAATTTTGGTGTCATTCGATAAGGAATCACAGAGTTTAGCCAATGATTTCAAAATTGAGCTGATTAGATGTAAATTTGCCAGTTTGATTCCGGTAATTTGTCTAAAATAGAAAAAAATGCTTTTAGCTTTTTGCTTTTAGAAAAAGGATTATTATTAAAAGATCAAAAGTTGTTTAATTTCAGGGAATCAAAACGCCTTATTGGAATTGCACAAATTCTGGATTAATCGGAAAAACATGCGCAGCGTTTGGATAAAATAATTTTTTTGCCTGTCCTTGCAATAAATCATGTTACAGTGTCTGTTAATAAAAGGTATTTGATATGATGATCACGAGAAAATCATTTTTATCGAAGAAAAACCTTTCCTTGACTAGAATTGACTTTTCTAGAAGACCTTTCTAGAATGGACCTTTCTAGAATGACTAGAAAGGCCCAAAGTTCCAAAGTTGATTTAATTACCCACAACTATCTAAAAAGCTTGCTGAAGATTGCCAAGGATGGCCAAAGATTGCCACTTTAGAGTTAAGTAAATCAAGAACTTTGACTGTCATTTTCGAACCTGAACACTTTTCACAAGATGATTCATCACCGGACCGGTTTTTCCTCTCTTTTTTCTCATTCCCCCATTCCCTTTTATTTCCTTCTGCGTTTTGCCGTCTTATAAAAAGCGATTTTCAAAAAGTTGTGTCATTTTACAATTACAATCTGTTGACTTTTGATCTTAAACTCTATTTTCTTAAATTTTCTACTTTGAATTTTTCAAATCAAAGTAAATACTATCTATATTTTCTGTTATAGATAGTATTTATATATCTATAACATATAAGTACCAAAAATCATTTCACTAACACTTTTTGATTCGTCACTTCAAAAGTTGGGTCATTCTTGCGCAATTACACCTATCTCTTGTCTTTTTTTCCGTTCCTAAACCCTCTATTTTCTTAGTTTTTCAGTGGATTTTCTTTTTAAATGAACCTACCGTAAATGCTGTAATTGTAAAAACTCTTCTATTTTTCTCTATCCTTTTTCAGACTCTCCAAACAATCACATAAGGGGGGACCATCTAAAATTTAAAAAAATGTTTTTAAATCACTCCAGCTCGATTGGAAATGCTCTAAAACAAACGAAAAACATGTTTAAAACAAGAAAATCTTTTGTCAGCTTTGACCCTTGGAGGCCGGACTCTCGAAAATGATAAGGGACCCCCTCCTCTGATAATTTTTCGAAAAAGAATAATGCAATTACCGTAAATACTCTAATTGAAGCGCATGCGCTTCTAATTTTTCCCTATCCTTTTTCGGGCTCTCCAAAAATCAAAAAAATCCTATAGAAAACGCGCGGATGTGCCCCCCTCTCCTTATAATTTTGTTTCGAAAGTATTTTTGAATGTTTAGATCTTTAGATTCTTTTAAATTTTATTGCCAACCATTCTAGATTATACATACAGCTCATATACACCATTCTAAGCACTTTTAAATTAAACGCTTTTCCAAAGGAAGTGACTTTTTGGGCGACCAATGCGGAGGCTTAGGCTTAGGCCCCTGTAATTGAAGGGCTTAGGCCTAAGCCCCTGTAATTGAAGGGCTTAGGCTCTTCAATTAAAATATTTACGGTAATCCCATTTCAGATGACTCCAAATGTTTCGAGTTATGAGAAAAACGAAGAAACGATTCATAACACACCAATTACTTGGAATCTTATAGAAAAAGATTTTCAAAACGCTTTTCGTACAAAAGCTAAAATTGGAGAATCAAGATCAGCTCGGAGAATAGGAAATGGAATGGTTGGTTCTGTAAAATTAAGAGTTTCTCAAAGAAATCGAAGACCTAAAAACCCTTAGGTAGAGTCAAACGCATGTTAGCGACAAAAAATACTTACCGTAAATACTGTAATAGTACCCCACCTCCATAATGACGGTGCGGAGTGTTGCGTAGTCTAGTTTTGGACGCGTTTTTCTCAACACTGGTTTATGCTACAATGTGCGCTTAGGTATCAAAAAATAGCCCTGAATTTCAGGGCTATTTTTTGATACCTAAGCGCACATTGTAGCATAAACCAGTGTCGAGAAAAACGCGTCCAAAGCTAGACTACGCAACACTCCGCACCTTCATTATGGGGATGGGGTACTATTACAGTATTTACGGTATATGCAATGAGTTTAAAATATTTATGACTGTATTCAAAGCAGAAAAACTAAAGTTTTGCAGTGTTATTGCAAAATATCCCCAAAATTTCAGGGCTACATCTCACAAATTTTACTTGCAAACTTTGATTGGGTGAACGACGAAGAAAGTCAATTACCTAAAACAGCTGTTTTGAAGATTACGATAGCAGTGGAAAGAAAAACCCTCAAAATTTGGAGCGGAAGGACCTCAAAAATTCGATATGAAAGAGGTTGACATAGGAAAATAGACAAATTTTTATTAAGCAAAGCTTAACAGTTTAGCTTCACAACACAGAATTAAAATTTTACAAGCGATCCATTGATCCCTTGCAAATTCCTGAGACTTTGATGCTGCCCAAGTTTTATTGTGGACGATTTTATGGAGAGGAAGGATTGAATGCTGGTAGGAACAATGCAAATCACTAAAACAATCACTTCGCTGCCAGTTCCGGAGTTAGGAGTCTGGCATAACTGACTGACAGAGTTTGACTAGACAGGATTGAGTCAGAGGCTACGAACAGTTCAAATCAGGCTAGAATCAAGCCCGACCAAGATCGAACCAAGTCAGGCTAACTGGTTTGAACCAAGTAAAGCCAGAGTCAGGTCAGGATTTTATGGAGAGAAGGGATTGGTTGCCGGTAAGGGGTAAAGAAACTACTAGAAAACTGGACTCACTTCAAATTTGACTAGACCAAATTTGAGGTCTCTGGCCAGCCTACAGATTCAGACTAGACTAAGCTAAGCTTTAGTTTGAATAGGTCAATCCAGGCTTGAGACCAATAGGTTGCCAGTAGAATTAGTCCAGTTCAGAACCAAGTAAAAGCATACCACGTTTATCTAGATAGACTCGTCACGCTCAAGTTTGACCAACTCAGATTCAAGCCAGACCAAAGTCAGGTTATTTTTCCCAAAAAGCCGGACCAGCCAGAGCCGGACCAGCCAGAGCCGGACCAGCCAGAGCCGGACCAGCCAGAGCCGGACCAGCCAGAGCCGGACCAGCCAGAGCCGGACCAGCCAGAGCCGGACCAGCCAGAGCCGGACCAGCCAGAGCCGGACCAGCCAGAGCCGGACCAGCCAGAGCCGGACCAGCCAGAGCCGGACCAGCCAGAGCCGGACCAGCCAGAGCCGGACCAGCCAGAGCCGGACCAGCCAGAGCCGGACCAGCCAGAGCCGGACCAGCCAGAGCCGGACCAGCCAGAGCCGGACCAGCCAGAGCCGGACCAGCCAGAGCCGGACCAGCCAGAGCCGGACCAGCCAGAGCGGACCAGCCAGAGCCGGACCAGCCAGAGCGGACCAGCCAGAGCCGGACCAGCCAGAGCCGGACCAGCCAGAGCCGGACCAGCCAGCGGACCAGCCAGCGGACCAGAGGCGGACAGAGAGCGACCAACCAGAGAAGGAGACCACCAGGCCGGAGGAAGGAAAAGGGCAAGGGACCAACCAGAGCCAGACTTCGTTGATGTTGACCCTGTTTGACTCATTATGCTTGGGAGCATCGCATAGATTGGCTATTGCTATTGAAGCATCGGATAGATTGGAGCATCTCTTAGATTTTTCACCGTATATCTATCATTTTCATCTAGGCTACATTGCAATGGAACACATCGAAGAAGCTGTAGACAGGCATATCTATCAAAATGTTGATCAAATCGGTCTCCTTGAGGCTTTGGAGCAACTCATAGAGTTGGCCGTGTTTTGTAAGTTCTCAAGGGCAGCCAAAGAAAACTCTTTTAGCTATCAACAATCCCAATAAATTGAATGATTGGCCAAAAATCGGGAAAACTTTGTTTGATCACTTCTTGGCTGCAGATGTATGTGAAAAGTTACTATTTAAAACTTTTGAATGTCAGAATGTTCAAGAGAAACTTGCAACAAGATGTGAGCTGTTTCCTGTTTTTAAATCGGAATCAAATATCTTGCGGAAATATTTCGATAAAGTTTGGGGAGATTATCGAAAGTTCACAGAGCGACGGGAAAATACTTGTGAGTAGACTTTGCTGTTTAAAACCATAAGTCTTGAGTTGTTATTTACTGTTTAAATAGTTGAATTTGATAAGAATTGTTTGAAAATTGGCTTGGTGATTGTCTATTCATTGTCTATTTAATGTTTATTTATTGTCTATTCCAGGTAAAGTCCCAATTCTCTGTCAAGGAGATATTTGGACACCAAACATCTTATGGAAAATTGATGAAAATGGGATTCATCACGTGAGAGCGTTTATTGATTGGCAAGTGGGTCAAATGTTCTGTTTGTCAAATCTAGAGTAAGAAATAAGGCCCTGTCGATGTAGCTCTTTGGTAGAGCGTTCGCTGGGTAAGTGAAAGGTCGTTGATTCGAATCCTGGCGCCGACCTTTTCTTTCGATTTCCAGTCCAAACCCATAAAAGGACCGGCGTGTCCAACTCTAGTGTCAAGTTGATATCACTAAAAATCAGCCTTGTACCAGCTGCTAACAGACCTACACTATGAAAAGAAAGAATTTAAATTTAAAACTCCGATTAAGTGAGTCTAAATCCCCCATTTCAGCTAGTTCACATCGGTTCCCCACTCGAGGATTTGGTTTTTCTTTTCCATAGCGCTCTCTCAGGAAAAGATTATAAAGAGAAGTATTTATGTTTAAAATTTCAAAGATATAAAATCATTTTCAGAATAAATTTTTATTTACATCATTATTATAACACTTTGAAAAGGCGATTAGAAATGACGGAGAAAAGGATGCCCTGGGAAAACTTTGAAGAGGTAAAGCTATTGCTTAACTATTGCTTTAAGCTTAGTAAGTGGTTTTTTTTGAAGAGGTAATGATTACCTAAGCGGAAATCTATTGGCTTAGAATAATTTTCGTATAACTATCTGTTTTCCGTTCAAAGAACAGTACGAGATCGCCTACGTTTACATGTTGGGCATTCTGTGGCGAATTTCGTTGATGATTTTGGAAGAAGAGATCGAAAAGGATGGTTGGTTTAATTCAGATAAGCTTTTAAGGTTATGCTTAATGTTTTAAGGTTTAAAAAAACAAAGATATGATAAACAGTATGATAAACAATTTTTAGCAACATTCATGAATGGAGATGGAGCTACTTTGGTCGGGAAA